GTTTCAAACTCAATACTAAACAGTTTACTTCACCTCGACTGCTGTTAAGACCTGTTAAGACCTTGCAACCTTGCAACCTGCTGCTGACTGTTTGCTTTGAAGTTGCTGCTGCAGTTCTGTCCAGATAGCTTTCTTCTCAAGCTGCTGTTTTAGTCCTCAATTTAAGTCAAGACAGAACGATCAATCTGCACACTCTGCTTCACATCAATCTGCTAAGCTGCTGTTAAACTTTCTGTTGCTGCTTAAAATGAAGCTGTTGTTACAAGATTGGATCTGATAAACCTTGACTATCAACCTTGCTGTTGCTTCAACCTTCACTTGCTGTTCATCATCATCTTGGTCTCTGTATTACGTATGCTGCTTCCTCACTAACTAATACAAGCAACAAAAAGATGAAATGACAATACAAAAGTTGTCCGATGAAGAAATCCGGACAAGAATATGGAAATCCGGAAAAATTGTAAACTTATACAAATGCAATATGTAAACCGGACAATATGTGAAACTTATACTTGTCAATGCATGATATAAACCGGACAATACATGAGATAAACCGGTCAATACAAGAAATTAAACCGGACAATAGTTCTTAAACAGCACACTACACAAGCCTTAAACCTGTTGCTGCAATATGAACCGTACACTGTCATCAACAGCACAGCAGCTTTAATTGCATGAATAAAGTCTGTTTAATACACACAAGATTCATTACAGCACATGACACAGCAGCTTGTTAAAGTTGTCAAGGCATGAAGCTTATCCGCTGGTTAAATGAGAGAAACCTGTCACAGCTTGAAAGTACACCTGACAGCATGTATCTTTAACCTGAAAGCGTAAGTCTCTAAACCGGACAGCATATAAACCTTAATCTGACAACACAATTGTTAAACCGCACAAAGATCAAGAATGAAATCAAAGTACAATTTCTATTATCCGGACACARCATGCATAATCARTCTAGACTTTTATCCTTTGGTTAAACCGCTGGTCACTTGATAAACCTGTCAACACTAGTATATAAACCGGACAGCACTAAGTGTAAACCTGTCAATTCATGAGAGAAGCTAACATATATAATGCTGTCCGGATATGTAATCCGGACAAAAGTCTTGATTCATTAAACCTGACAGCACAACATATCAATGTTAATCCGGACAATATGATGATCAACTAAACCGCTCAAACAATCAACTAAACTTAAAACAGATCAAAAACACAAAAAAACTAAAAAATTTTAAAAAAATGGATCAAAAACTCTGATAATAAAGAAA